CTAAAATATCTGTTTTTATAAGAGTCGCACTACATTCATAATAGTCCTTGACTTTGTTTTATTCAATATATTTTTGGGGAAATTTATGCACGATATTTAGCCATTTTCTTTACTCGCTGATGTATTTTTTATTCGTACGAATGTTGCAATAAGTAATAATATGGTATTTAAATGATAATGATAATAATAACAACAACGATAACAATATATCTCATAATTAACGAATATATTGAATATTCTCATGTAGAACACTTAATGAATATAAGAAAGAAAAAAAAAGTACGGTTATCGCTCCTCGTTTTAATTCAAGCGCGACGACACCGATCCTGGGAAAGTGGTTAGTTGCTTCGCGCTTGAATTTTCTTTACATTATTTCACTGGGCACGCAGGTATCTTTGGTGATTCCAGAACAATACCGCGAAAATTAATACGTATATATATATATATATATATATATATATATATATATATATATATATATATATGTGTGTGTGTGTATACGTATACACGTATATGTACGTGTATGCACACATGTATTTATATGTGTATACATGTCATAACTCTTAATACATGTCCTATGTCTGTATTTATACTTAGTTGTTATTATTTTACTTCACACTGCATATTCTTTTTTTCACTCTCAATTCATCGGTGCTCATCACTTTAGTTCCTATTTATCTTCGTTTATTACCATTCATTTTGTTTATTACATACTCGCTTTTATAGGCTGGCTTTTGGCGTTTATGTTTTTTACTTAAAAGGATTTTTAACCGATATGTTTTCTTTTTTCTTTTCTTTTTGACGAAAGGAGCATGTAAGTTGTTTAGCTTTTAAGTGAGTAACGTACCATATTTTATTTTCAGTAATACCAACATACGTTAAATGTAATCTACAATTGAAATTTATTCGTAATTGGAATTAGATGCAAAGAAAAAACTTTCTAGAAAATGTATTTGTTTAATGGCTTTAAATTTGGTGCAATTTAATGACGAGCTTGTACCCAATTTTTACTCGCATAAAATATTTCAACGATGATTTTATGGAAAATGACTTCCTGTTATAACATATAAAATTAGGGTACAATTTGATTTATTATGACTCTTAACACAACTCTTAATAGCGAACAAATTAGAATAATCGATTTTTACAAATACAGTTAACATAAATATTATAAGACATTAAATACCATTTATATTAAGCTTTATATCCATTGAACCATTGGTTAAAAAATGAACTAATTCTATAATATAACATTACATTAAAATAAAAATTGTATTTTGGCAGAGAAAAATCTATTCTTTAAATCGTACATTTTAATATTCTTTTACTTAGACATGCATTTCTATTAATAAAATATAATTACCTACGACCATATATACTAAATGCTATCTTTAACCGTAAACAATTTTTAAGATAACAGTAATTTATAAATGTTCAAATTGTATTTCAAATTGAATATTTTTATCGTATCTCTTACTGTAGTGTACTAATTTTTGTGATAATTGAGAAATGTGTGTTGCTTTATGAACTTATAGCCATGAAATAAACGTTTATAAATTTTGTAAAATAACTTTCATAAATTAAGATGAAAATTTTATTAATTTTTTATGGTAGTATATTATTTTCAAACTTTGGCTAATAAAGAAAAAATGTATATACAATTGGAACGGTTTTGCTATATTAACATAAGTCTACATAAAGGGTAAATTATTTTATTTCACGAATTTTTGAACTTTCAGCCAAAGATTTTCTGACATCTATTGAAAAGGAGTCATTTTCCATAAATATAAAGTGAGATGCTTTAATTTAATAAGAATTCATCAACTGCTTTGGTACTCTAACTAGTCCACATTCCTGTTTCTTGTATAAGTTTTTCTCTTTTTATAATCAAGGGATAAGTTCCCAGATCATAAAGGAAATTGGATTTTAAAATTATAAGATCATGCGGTAATAAAAACGTATCAATCGGTAAAAATTATATTTTAAATTTGTATTAAATAGATCAATTATATGTTGCATTAATTACACGATATTGGCATTATTCGAACAGAAGAAAGAAAGTATGAAATTTTTTAGTTAAAATATCTGAATAAAATCTTTAGAATCTTATTTTGATCTATGTCTTTGTCTCTCTCTCTCTCTCTCTCTCTCTCTCTCTCTCTCTCTCTCTCTCTTAGTTCATTATAAATAATACGGTATTGCCCTTAGAATGAGAATCTTGTTAAATAAATTAAAAAAGTAAATTATGTAAAAAAGTAAATAATAAAAATGTAATATTGTTGTGATCTTGTAATTGGAAAATACAATTTTTAATAATAATTTGTTTTTCAAACAAACGATAAAATTTGAAAATATAAATTAATAAATTTCAAATAAAAACGATAGAAATATTCAAATAATATTAAAAGTAATTGATTTGTTACAACAAATAAATCAATAATTTGTCCATATTTGTTAAGTAATTTTCAAATAAAACTGAATTCTTATGGTATTTTATTTAATTGTCAGCTAAATAATTATAGTTTCCTTGAGATTTACTACGTAATTATGTAATATTTTATTAAAACTAATAAACAATTCAGTAATTATATTTAATAAAAATATAATAACCAATTTATGTGTATATATATATATATATATATATATATATATATATAAAGGTATATTCGTTAAAAAAATGCAAAGTCAGCTTTTGAAAGTGTTAACATAAATAAATTTTATTAATAATAGTATAGTAAAATTGGGGCAAAAAGATACACTGCAATGTAATATGAAGCATTAAGTTAAAATTGCAATGCTCATTAAAGTCGCGTTTAAATCACTTATGTTTTTGCAATAATATTACCAAAGATACCTGCTTGATCTCAAGTACAATTCGTTATAAGAATAATTAACTGTAAGATTTTTTGATCATGAAATACAGTTCAATGTGAAGTATATTTTATCTTTTATGCATAATTGAAAGAGTAATTAAAGCTTTTAATACACCTGTTGCTAATAATTTATAATTTATAAATAAATTTTTGAAAATATACGTACATTATTGCAGCCATTTTTAATACAATTTCTTAATATTAATGTTAATGTTATAAAATTCTGAGTGCCTAAGTCCTTTATTTTAAATAAATTTTGTAATATTTTTTATTAAAAATATTGTTAAAAAATCTCAAAGTTAATATTTAAATAGTGATTTGTTTTTAACTATGCGTTCATTCATCATATTAATTTTTATTATTATTATTAAATTTACGTTCAAAAGGTACAAAGTCATCGATTTTCATGCTCAAGAGAAATTTTCTTTATCTGACAAGAAGTTTAACGCATTATTATGACGTATGTGATTTAGTTTTATCATAAATGGAAAGTAAAGGCGCGGAGAAGTGCAACTACACATTAAAAAAACTTTGGTGAAATGTGGGAACGTAGGTATACATACTTTTTTTTTTTTTTGCTGTATCCCTAATGCTGGTTTTTCTTTTCATATTTTCATTTTTTATTTATTTTCATCTAATTGCGTTTGTTGATATCATTAAAATCGTTGAATGTTAATAAATGATTAAAAATTGGGCGCTACCTAAAGACCATATGACTTATTTGGGAAATGCTTCTCCGCGCAATCCTAGTAGAAGGTGTAATCTGTTTCTTTCTCTTCTTTTACTTAGAATTAAATTTTATGGTTTTATTTATCAAGCGTTTGCATTGAATTTTTTCTTGTTTTATTTTTCTTTTTTATATACATGATTTTATAAGGTGAATGCTGAAATGCTGAAAGAGGGCGAGAAAGAGAGAGCGAGAGAGAGAGAGAGAGAGAGAGAGAGAGAGAGATTGTGATGAAAAGAATGAAAATTGGGAAAGTGAGTATGGTTGTGTACGTTATATGGTGATTTGGCAAAATAAAAAAAAGAGATAAACAAGAAACTTGGGCAGAATTTTGCGAATGAAGGTAGTGCGGAAAATAAAGGTATTTACGTTACGATGGTGCAGTGTCAATATTGGTAGCGGGACTTCTACGTGCAATACTAACTTCTGTGCTTCCAGGTAGGCCAAGTCAATCATTATTCCTTAGCTGGCTGACGCAACTTTACAAACCATTATCCAAGTGCATCCATAATTTTTATTCGTGTTTTATTCAAACGAGAATTATGCATTTTATTAGATTATCGTGTATAGGCATTTTCCCAGCCAATGCAACTTGCAAATAAGAATTAAGATTGTACTCGATAATGGTAAGTAAATTATGCGTTGATAAAAGAAAAAAAAAGAAAAAAAAATGGCTGTTACGTAGCGGGGGACAAATGTGTGTCAACTTTCGCGGTTATTTTTATTATTTCTTACTAGTCTCAACGGCAGTAAATGTTAGATGCGTGAAAAAAAAAACAAATAAAAAACCAAAAAAAAGAAATAAATAAAAATTAAGTAGAAACGTTTTTAATTACTACTTTTTTTTTTGTATATAGTAATTCTATGGGTTAACGGTTTCATTGGCTGTTTATTATCTTTCTGGTGTTATACGTATGCAAAACGTTATATAACTTTCCACTGGTCACGAGTTTAATCACTGGTTCATTTTCTTAATTTAACAAACATAATTTTGTCAAAGTCTCATCGAAAAACGACATTGCGGAAACAATAAAGCTCGCGTTGACCGATGTTATCCTCGCTTAAATCCATGGTGGCATACTTTTTAAACGTAAAAGAAAATTAAAAAAGATTAATAAAATTAAAAGAAAAAGAAAAAGTAGAACAACTGCAATGACCGATTCGATCATGTAACTTTTCTCGCCACGACATTATTTGGCATAAAGTGAGGTTTGGTATGAAGCTAATAAAGGGCAATCGATGTATTGCCACTCAGTGAACGAACGGTTACTCACACTCACTAATTCGACTTCAAAGGAAACATAACGTAAAAGAAGCTTTCGAGTCTTGCGCAGAATGATAAAGCAGCGAGATCGGTGACGACATGTCGAGGCGCGCGAAAAGATAAACTAATAGTAAAGAGTCCCGAAAATGCTCGCTTCGCCCCACCAACTCGCTTTTCCCACTCAATTTCATTTGGACGAACCGTAGGGAGCACCATGATGCCGCCACCTCTGCCGCTTCCGGCGATGCTGACCCGGGCGCCCGCACCCTTCGCACCAGCCTACGCGCAGATCTACTTCTGGCCTTACCCCTCGCCGCCTGTCAGCCCGACGAGCTACTACAACCCGGCCAGTGTCCCGGGCATGATGCCCATTCCCCAGCAGGCCGCTATCGTAAGTATCGTAGGGACGAGGATGTCGATGATGAGCGCCAGTTCAACGAGTCCAAGCTCGAAGCCTCGACGACACTCGCCTCGCCTCGGAGCCGAATTCTTCAGCAAAGTCACATTAAGCAGCCGCGGAGGTCACCGTTGCAAACGTACTTCGATGCGCTTCGTTTTTGTCGCTTGGAAATACGTGGCCAGCGAAACTCAAAGCGGATGGGAGGGGGGAGGGGGGTTTAATCGAGGAGAGCAGCCTCTCTCGCACATCGGTCAAGCACACATCCGCCTCTCAACCTGATCAAGAATAATAGGCACGGCGTTCCCCGTCTCCCATAACTTCACGGGTTTCACGATTAAGGAAATTTCCGATTAATGAGGGCAACTCGAGCGCCGACACATTGCTGTCAATAGCATTTTGACGCTTTTAACGCGAACAAGATTCATTTGAACTCAATCCGAAAGATCGAATATCGAATGACGATTATTCCCTAGCCCTAGTCGTCGAAATTGCCATTTTCCTCGATAACGTTGACGTCCGAGTGGACGCGCGTTCGTCGGGCACCTTCGTGTCGTATTCATTAAGTACAAGAGTAACGAAGGATGCGCGCTACGTGTTTTATTATTCGGAGACATGTTTTATTATTCGGATTCCTCAATGGCGAATCAGCGCGAGAGGTAACGAAATGGAAAATTAAATTTAACGGCCGCGCGAGCACCGAGAGCGAGGCTACGAGCTCGAGAGGAATAGAACGATGAGGTGGTAAAAATGTATTAACTCCTTGGGTTTGGCTGTTGCTAGCTGACGCCGCCCGAGTGCCTGCAGCTCGCACCACCGGAGCCGCACATGGACGCACTCATCCCGAGACCGGACATCGATAAACGAATTCATCCGTCGCTCCAGGTCCCCTGTCACCAGTACATCGATCTCTTTATTGTCTGAGGGGCCCCGGGCCGTCACTGCCGCCGTCGCCGTCGTCGTAGCCGTTAACGCCACCGCCGCCACCGTCGCCGCTCCCCTATCCCACCAACCACCTTCAAATTTTCGCCCGACGACATTATTGTACGTCGCTGTCTAAGAGGGGAGAGGCGATGACGGACGGACTGACAGATCGCGCCCCTCGGCAACGCCGGCGACTCCACGGTCCTTCTAGTCCAGCCACGAACGAGCGCATCGCCCGTGCCCTCGCCCGGGCATTGCCGAGGGGCAGGAGTCGCTGCGCCCTGAAGCGGAATCTCTTCCACGGCGAGGCGGAACCTTGATACCGCGCCTCTTTCTTTCAATCTCTTGATGTTCGTCCTACTTCGCCCACCACAAGGCAATGAATGCCTCTTTACGGTGGCCCCTTCTTTCTCTCCTGAACCTTTCCCTCTATTAGTTGCTCACGGCCCGGCGATCATCACTTCGCACAGACATACATTTTATGTATGCTTATGTACACGTAAACAAGCAAACAAGCGCAAACAAGCAAACAAACAAACACCCATTACATATATTACGCATATGCATACGTGCATACGTTTATCAATAATAACGCATGTATATACGCGTACATGCAATTATATATTATCTTACGTAGACTTTATTAGCGTTGTTGTGAAAGGAAATAGTAGAAAAAGAGGAAACAAGAAAAAAAATATGATGAAAATGTACTTTAGGTAGTGTAGCGTGTATTATTTGAAATCTGCGAGTAGTTGAATTTAAGATTAGTTAATTTAGGCAGATATGAAAATTAATATATTCCGTGCGTTCGCTAGTGTTTGCGATTATTTTCGATTATTATTAAAGTACCCGAGCAGATACGAGCCAAATCCGTATAACATTTGAGGCTTTCTTTTATCATTTGCACAACCAAAGTACTTTATTATATATTATAATGATTTTTATGCTGCTTAAGTGATTATTTAAACTATAATGGACTCCTGCAAAATTTCCACATATCATCTATCATTGTAAACTAATTGCAATCAATACAATTAATTATCGTTAAATTTACAAGTTTCGCATAATCATTAGCCTAAGTTATGTACCTTTGAGAAACAGTGGAGTGCTTTTATATACTTCCACTTCATCTTCTTCTACTTCATCATCATCATCATCATCATCTTCTTCTTCTTCTTCTTCTTCATCTTTTTCTTCGTTTTTATTAATATTTTTTTTTGTTTGTTTTTGTTTTTACTATAAATAACGAATAATCGAATAAAAGGCATAGTTGAAAAACTTAATGATAAAGATTTTAAGCGCAGCGAATAATTCGTACGATAATAAAATTCATGCTACCTTCATTATGCACTCTATTGTGTTGAACGTAAAAGAACCTATAAATTTCGATTTTAATACAAAAGAGTTTGAAGATTTTAAAGAGAAAAGACTTGTTGCCAAGGTGCGCATTCTTGACAAGATAGAAAAATTGGCAAATCACGTGGGCCGTGTAGTTAGCAAAAATTTATTTGACCCTTGGAAGCATAATTTCACAAATTAAAACGACAAGCTTATCTTTACTACTGGTAGAATGAATTTGCTCGTAACTGCTCCCTTTAATCTTTTGTTGAAAGATCATTAAACGCATAATATTTAAACTATTATATACACTGTCATTGTAACTGCACGTAAACAGCAAATATTACAAATGTCTTCCCTAGCGCTCCTTCTCCACTAATACTTTCTACGCGCATACGTATATGCTTCGCGCATATTTCATATCCATCATTAGTAAGTCTAGTAGACCTTAAAATAAAATGGCCAATTAGCTTACAACCTATTACTACGTTTTTTCTCTTATCTTCGCAACGAGATCTACTTTAAGATTAACCTTCCGATTATTCCTCTTGTCATTGAAATTGCCATTTCTCTTCTCGAGTACATAAAGATTGAATTGCAATTTTCGTAGGAGTCTCGTTAGCATTGCTGCCGCAAATATAACGACATAATTGCGGGTGCAATAATTAAAGAAGCCTCTCTTACACATACGTTAAATATATTGTGCAATAAATAAATAAATAAATAAATAAATAAACTAAGTAAATAAATAAATAAATGAATGATTAAATAAATGAATATAAATTAGATAATTAAATATGTCTGAGCGAGTTCGCAGCCGCATTCGTCAAGGGCGGTGGTTACGTGCACTCGTGTTTAAGATTAGCAAAGTGGAGTGATACGAATCGATGTGGCAAAACGTTTTATCAAAACTTTACATTCATCTATATTTCATGTATCTTTTACATTTTCAAAAGTCGTCATCTTCTGAATAAATGTACAGCCTTGACTTACTAAATTTCAACTTTATACAACATTATCGAATAATCCGTTGTTTTAACGTGATCGCTTATAAAAACGTTTACTCATATCAATGTGGACATATTTTACTTTTTCGGAAGAATACTAAACTTTAATAAAGTACTATGAGATGAATTAGCAATTATTAATAAATGAATGATTACGCTGGGTGTTACAAATTATTTAACGTTTCGTTATAAAAAAAAATTTTTGCCTAATGAAGTATATTTAATATCGAAATACGTACTACGTGTACTCGTCAATTGAATAAAAAAAAAAAAAAAAAACCATTTATCGAAGTACTTTGTGTTAAATAAATATCGAAATATTTTTACATGATAATTAAAATACGTAAAGTTTTAATAAAATTATTTTATGGAAAATCGATAAGCAAAGATTTGAAGTTCAACGGACATCTATTTGTAATCACTCATACAAATATCTACTGAAATTACTTGGATATGTTTAAACGTAAATTTAAAAAATAAAAAAATATGTACGAATAAACCTATATTTCGCATATTAAAAGCGATAACAAAGTGAAACTACTTTTGTTTAGTACTCAAAAAGTAGTATGTTATTAGTCGTTAATATATAATAATTATATATGTATATTTTAAGAAAATATTATTAAACAAACAAACAAAACAGAAAAAAATATATATATATATATATATATATATACATACACGTACATACATACATTTTAGAGACACTTATATTTTTTAAAAACCATCGATTTGATCGTACGTAAATATATTTAAATGGAAAAACGAAAAGATTTTTAATGTATCGAAATGAGTAAAAGAAAGAACATTTCCTTAAATTTTTCCTTTGTCTAGCGATCGTTCTAAATCGACGACACAAACAATATATACGTGTACTTGTCTGCCTATCTCTGTGTTTGATGTGCGCTAGCGCGCGTGCGTGCGTGCGTGCGTGCGTGCGTACGTGCGTGCGTGCGTATGTGTCTCTGCGCGTGCATGCGTGTGTACCTTATACATATTATACATAAACATATTACTGTTTTATATGCAAATTGCGATGAAAAAAAAAGCGTCAAGCGTTCCGCGTAATAACTTATACGTAATTATAAATTTTTGTGACTCATGTGCAGAGCATATAGAAGCAAATGTAACAGATGAAAAACAAAAATCCTCTATACTTGATGATACATTCCATTTTCATTTGTACAACGATAAAAGAATGCATGCGACCTATACGTCCTTCATGGGGCATGGTCACTCGAATCCAAATCGGATTCTTAAAATCGACATGACACGTGTCGGCCATAACGGCGAAAGTTATGGCTTTAGGCGAATGAAAAATAAAATGTATAAATAGTTTGGTGCAATTTTAAACGTTTGGCTGTGGAGGAGCTCAAAAAAAAAAAAAAAAAAAAAAAAAAAAAAAAAACTTAATTTTAAGACTTAATTGGTGCAATACGGTACCTTAAGAAAAATCTACAGGTTGCAACACTTTTATTTAATAAACTGTGACAAACATTGATTTACAAGGATACCAAGTTCAGTGATATTATGTATGCTGCAAAAGTATTTAACCGATTGGCTAAAATTTTTGAGAGTTTCATAACATTTACTCAATGTGCTACATTATTTGTAAATTCAGTATCCTTGCGCGAAGATTTTGCTATATGTGTCGATGATAAGTGTAATTTATGAAGTAAGCAGAGTTTTTAAATAATTAATACTGGCGTGACGTTGTAAAAAAAAAAAAAGAACAAAAAAAAAAAGAACAAAAAAACATCAAAAAAAGAAAAAACGTTTGAACCTCATTTATGAGCCAATAAGTTCATCGCAACATGAGTGTTTAAAAATCATTAAAAAATATGCACTGTTATAAATAGAGAAGTCGACAAGTTGTATGTTAGGTGATCTAGAAGATGATGATGATTTGAGAAGCAATGATATGGATGACGCTTCAAGGCCGACATTCGCTATGCTTATAAATTATGCGTGTATGTATGTGCATGAGTCTGATTCCTAATAGATATCCTGCAAGGAAAGCGCGAAATAATAAAATACTGTAAGCAATTGTAGATAATTCCTAACTATGTACAAGCTAAATGATTGTCGAGATGGCGATATTAAATATCATTGGAAAACGAGAGAGAGAGAGAGAGAGAGAGAGAGAGAGAGAGAGAGAGAGAGAGATACCGAGAGCTAATAAACTGTAGTTAACAAACGGCAAGATGAAGTGAATATGTAGAGACGAGTAGTGTAGATATGTTACGAATTACAAAGCATTTTTACAAAATTACGATTCTACGATTGATTAATATCAAGTGCGATTTATAATGACATACATGTGCGACATGCGGATTAATTCGAGGACACGATTTGTCTTCGACCTGAAAAAAGGATTTTATTCTATTGTTATGCAGCCCGGCTGCCGATAATACAATCATGGTTGTACGCGATTTAAATGATTTAAATTTATTTAAATTTAAATTTAATATTTAATTATTACGTTACATCAATATTAATATATTAAACATATTAAACATTGTTTCAAAAATCGACTATTTATTGTTGTCTATCCTTTCTCATTGTTTTCTTTAATCTTATAATATATATATATATATATATATATATATATATTCTACACTATTTTACTGTGTGCTTTTAAATTCAAATATATTAACTAGGAAAATACGTTACGAGAGTATCGCAATTTTACGATATTGTAAAATATTTTCATTTAAAAATCATTAGAGAATAAAACACTGTTTCAAATTAAACCGAAATTAACATAAATAAACAATATAATATGAATATTTAGTTGTTTCATTTGTATCTATGCTTGTTCTACATTATGAATCATACAGAATATTTTTTTAATAATTAAATATACTATAATCTCACTAAGATCTTGAAAAATTATAATGATTAATATATAACCATATTTAATACTTTTATATAATATCTGCAATGCCAATAATAGAAGGTAAGTGATTATTTGTAATTCATAATATATAAAATAAATAAAGGAGATGAGAATCAATTTATTTGAAATGACATGTCCAATCATACGAGCATATTGAACTATGAAAATTAAATTGGATATCCAAGAAAAAATCAAGTCTACTCTGCAATTACGAAATTAAAATTTTATTTATTTAATATTAATTATTTATTGGTAAAGGCATGTTTGTTATGAAAATTTATTGTGAATTATGGAGGCCATGTTTTTTTTTTTTTTTAATGTATACTATTTCTTTGCTATAAATTTTGTTAATCAACTCCTGCGATATAGATAATTCCATTTATTTTCCCACAATTAAATAATATATTAATAAAGAAATTTTAGAGCGATAGCGTTATTACCGATTTCCAGTATAGTTGGAATAAATGTTTTACGATAAATTCGCGTGATAACCCAGAGATGGCGCAAATGTTGAAAGAGCCATTACAACGGCACTGTTATTATATAAAATATTTTAACGCCCAAAACTTAAATCTCAAACGATTCTTCTCGATATATCTCTTTCTTTTACGAACAAAGGGTTGAATGTAATTCAGGTAGTCCAATAGAAAAATAATAATGATTTTTACTTTCAGTAAAATAAAATGGAAATTTATTTTTTTTTAAATCCGTCATCAACGATGAACTACGTCTTTGTTATTTTAATTTAACAAATTTATTTGTCGGAATACACAATTTTTTGATAATTTCTATGCAAAATTAGTCAGAACTTTAGATCTAATTGGGATGTAATTCGTTAAGTATTAATATTTCATAAAACATTTATGAAATACACTTGCTACTCAGTTCTATTGCGTTTATTAACAAGATTATTAAAATTAAAAATAAATTTCACTTTTCGCTTTAACTGAGTCTTTACGCGCAATTAAACATTTTTACGGGCGTTGAAATGAGAGAAATGCGTGATATGGTGATTAATAAGTATTTGGTCGCGTCACATTTTTATCTGTAAATAAACAAGTATTATTGGCTTTATTAGTAATATACTAGTGGATATTGTGTTATTAACATTAGTCATACTTGCTATAAGCACCTGTATATCGTAGCTTAAACATCTATAAATATTTATAAGTTGAATATGTTACATATTTAAAAAAAAAAAAAAAAAAAAAAAGAAAGAGAGACCATTATTTTATAGTCCATTTGAAAATATTATATTATATGTCCATATGATATTAATTACTCCATTTAAACTTGACGAATTTGAATTAGTCCATATTAAACAATTATAATTGTTTAAATATTTATTGGATTGTATTTCCGATCGATTGAACTTAATGATATCGCCAATTAATTTTCATTCCTATCGGAATCATCAATATTTTTAAAGGTTGCAGAGACGATTTCCATTTAATTAAAGGGACATACATCTACAGGGTCAAGCAAAAATTTGTTAAATTGATAAAATCTCTTCAAATTCAATCGGCTTAATTAAATTAATGGATTGATTAATTAATTAATCTAGCGTTTATAAACTTAGATGAATAATGTAATTTATTGGTGAAGTATTGATAACAAAATGCCTTATTCGTTGATGAATGTTTTATTACGTAACAATTGTTGCCAATGTATTGGCAGAGTTGTATATTAATAATTCAGACATCGAATAAAATTATTATTTTAGAAAATATTAGTCTTTAACGAAGCCTGAAAACTATTGTGTCTTGAGAGGTAATTTTTTTTTTTTTTTT